TATTCATTGGGACTGTACTTCTCAGGTGAGAGAATTCGTCCAACGACGTGTGGTGAAATCTACTGATGTTTATGTGGGATTTGCTGTACCCAACGTCTGACGCCGTTTGGTGTATGAATATTACCTTTTCAATACTGATGGTCAATTAAAAGTTTATGCAGACGAAGGGAAGGATGTTCATGTTCGAGTGCATGGCCCCTTCCATTGTGGTGTTTACGCTTTCGAAAGTGCTTAAACTCATCGGGTGTTGGACAGTTTTCCGCCGGTTTAACGGTTGATGTTTGTTCCTGGCCTCTCCACACGACAGGGGGCCATAAGCACAGCGCAGGCCATAAGACTAACTGGGTTAGCTAGTGCATAACCTCGACTCACCCTATTTGTCACCGAGAGTGGTTCGGCAATTGACCCACTCCCCGGGACAGACGCTATCATCCCGTCGTATAGTAACCTTTTAGCTTTGCGAATTTTTCCATACACCTCAAATTCAGCATGATCCCCAGAGCGCCGACATCTCGGTGCGCCAAGGACCTCAGTCAAATTTGTAAGGATCAGGTCCGGCGATCGCCAGCGTGGCTGTCTATTCATGCTACCTTTGGTCCACTCAACATTCCCTGCCAATTCGCTACCTGAGTCGCGATGACTGGGCCCCGGCGAGGCAAGTGTATGACACCAACATACATTGTACAGTCCGCTGGTTGGTTGGAGGTGTGCAAAGCCCAGGCGCACGCCTGCACTCCTCGCCGGGGCTGACAACCTGAAACGGCTGGCGCACTGCCTAGCGAGAACAATTACTGCCACTGCATGATGAGCCGCCTGCACGCTCTCTTGCCTCAGTAAAGATTGTCCAGCCAACTTGGTCTTCCCTTTCGACCGATTGCAGCTCCGCATATCCAGGAAGGTGGCGCATAGCCTGGTCCGCATTTTCTAGCTACTTTTCTAAAAATAATGGAGCGCGAAGATAATGTCGGCGGTATCGTGGTTTCTCCGAAGTCCATCTCGACATTCGAGGAGTTCTTGTTCCAGGTCTTTGAGTAAGACGCAGGCAAAGACTCTGTCGACGACGTTGAAAGAGACGCTTGTGGCAATTGCAGAGCTGTTGGTCCCCTTGAGTTCGTATAGGTGCACGATGGTGGCAACCTGAGGGACCTGCCCTGTAGGAAAAAACTGGAACACCGAGATAAGCTTGCCCATGAGTTGTAGGCCGCCATAGTTCAAAATTTTGGCCGAAATTGGTTCGGTTCCCAGCACCTTCTAACTGGACACCTGTTTCCCTACTCTGTCTCCTTGGGGGGAATGCCGGCGATCGAGGTTGACGCTGGATTCCATTTGACGAATGGTCGATTAACAACACCTTTGAGTTGCCCATGCCAACGCTCCAAAATTTGTGATCTTCCCGTCAGAGTTGAGCACCGTCACAGGGAGCCGTAGATCGCCTTGGTGGGTAAGATGATATGATTAATTCCATTGCAATCTACGTGCCTTGAATGCTCTCAGTCTTTTGACTCATCCAAGCATTCTTCATCTTCTTTAGATGCTGTTACACTATGATTTAACATCAGAAAAGGCCGCAATGTTGGCCACGGTTTTGCGGTTGACGTAGTACGTGTGCATCTTATTACTCCGTGAGGGCAAATTGCATATTTCCTCTTCGTCACTAAACCAATCCTGGTTCCTGACGTCGTGCGCGCCTCCGGACGGGGACAGCCCAGCAGATGCTAGGGACAAGAACGAGGGTACATCCACGTTGCCCTGTTCTGGATAGAATGGCGAAGGAAGTTGTCAGTCAGCAGAAGACTGCGTCCCACGTGGACCTGAAAGGATCATTTCTGTTGCAGCTGTCGATTCCGTGATTACCGAGAACTCTCTCCCAGGTACTGTGGTTTGTGACAACGGGGGCACTAAAGTCTCGGGACAGTCAATTTCTCCACCTTCGGCGCAGTCGTTGGGAGGTCGTGCAGGGCCTGTTCTTCGCGTCATCGGAGTTGGTAAGAGCGCAGAAGGTGTAGGTGGTGGCACGGTTGTTCCCAGTGACAGCCTTATAATCAATGGCGCCCTGCAGCAGGCCGGACAGACGTCTCACGCCATCGTTCTTGATGTCAAATACAATGACAGCATCTGGTCGCTCCTTTCTTGGACGCGTGCTCTAAAATGCTTATCCAACACTTATCTCTTTCCCTGGCCCCTGCTCAGAGAAACGGGCTTCACTGAGAGCCGCATTGGCCACCTTGTAACTACCCACTTCGCGGTCGACCGGGGCCGTTCACCTTTCTAGACGGTTCGCCATGGGATTAAAACAAGCTTTGCAGGTTACCAGTGTAAGCAGTGATGCTGGCAGCCTGTGAAGAACAGTAATGACTTCTTTATACTTTTAGACCGCATTTTTTGTGTCCACGAGCCACAGTAAGCTTATAGACACCGTACCCCATTAATGGTTTCTAGGGCACCTTTCTAGTCACCTGCCTGCGAGGGAGAAAACGGTGCCAAGCCTAAACAGGGCTGCTTAGTTGTCCCAAGTGGCTGTGAAATCCCACTGTGTCACTACTTTTGTTTAATGCTCGCATTCGTGTGTTCTGCATCCGCTGTCAATTTCTCCACGCGTTTAGTAGGCGGTTTGGCCAGCCCGTAGGTAGGCGTGCCTTTCGGCGCTACAACTGGATAAAGGTAAACGTCTGCCTTGTGGATTGTCGAAAAACAACCAGGTACGACGTGGTTATGCGGCCCCACCCAATGCACATAACACTGTTGGGGTTGGGACCATGTTTAGGGGTCAGTGTAAGGGCAACTACTTTTCAACTATTCAAAATACAATCGCGCATTCCCAATAGCTTCTCTTTTGCGTAAAATTACTCGACCTGGTCGCCTGTACGTTCTCCACCCCCACCTGTAAGAAGCCCTACCACCACCGGTCCCGTGTTACAGGCGGCTGGAGTTTTACTTCAGGTGGGGCTACATAACCACATCTGACCCTTAGCCACTCTGAGGCAGCACTTTGCAAGTCTGTTTTAGAGTTTTGGAAATCCTCATAGCTGTACCGGCCTGAATAAAGTTATCGAAAGCAACGTTCGCTCGCCACTTTGTCTTCTGAATTCTTTTTGTATACTCCCTCCGATTTTGCATGCCGCCCCCTAATCAAGGCCAGATGCTTGTTGCTTTTGCCCGAATCGACATCCTAATGTGAGTAGCTATCGCTTGGCGGCTTTTTCTTGTCCAAGCAACGCTGGACCGCCTTCAGCACCCCGGAAGGGTCACGGTTCCCTCAGCTTTTTGCTTCGGGATCTCTGCTTCGGCTGCGGAAATAGTTCCTGGCTTGTTTAGAATGACTTGACATGAGACTCGCTGCTGGACCAGATGCTCTGTCCCTTGTGGTCTCTTCGCTCTTGTCGTCCCGAGTGCGGAGAAGGTTACTTGGATGAGCGCCCACCAGCATCGTAGTAAAATTCGTGCTGACTCAAATCTGGTCATAGGTCTAGACGAGTTGTGGGCGGCAGACGAGGCGCCGTTATTCATGCTTGCTTCCAACTATGGTATCTTATCCCGCTCCTTATTCAACGTAGCCGGAGTCGAGTTCCGCAGATATCTCACTGTTACCGTCTCAAGATATCATCGGCATGCTACCTCCCCTTCAATTACTCTGCGGCATTTTAGCCTCTGCCCCAACTGCATCCAGTGCAGTAAATGATGTCGAAGTTGTCCGACTGGACAGTGGCTACTTGGATGCACAGGCTACCAGCAAATTGTCGCTTCTAGCCTGTGTTTTAAGATATACACATTGCTTATTAGTTTGGCTATTTATGCGGACACACCGATACTGAGCTGAAACAACCCGTCTTCCCCCCCCCCCTTCCGTACAAGTACCACGGCCTCGAATGTCGACCCCATAAAGGGGCAGGAAGGGATTAATGGCCCACCACTTCCGCACGAGGTGAGCCCTGCCGTGACCCGCGATGAATTTGTTCGTAGTGAGCCGGATGTGTGTAACTCACTCTTATACTTATCGCCTTCGGCGGCAAGACAATCAAGATAGGTAGGCTTAGGCGCAGCGACTGGCAAAACTAAACGGTCCCTATACACGTATTAGGCACGACTTGGCCTCTACCTCTTCTAGTTTAAAGCCTCAGTGTCTGTCACCACCACATCCCCGCCTCCGTATAGACAGCTTCGAAGAGAACATGCCCGCAGACGTGACGTCTTTTAAATATCGCGAAGTTAGCTAGTAAACTAATCTCAGAGCACAAAAGATTGTCAGTACTATGCTTATTATTCTCGTGGTTGAAGTATTTTCTTAATTAGACAGGTAGATGCGCAGTCCCACTCCAGCTAACCTTGGGCATAGACGTAAAAGGCACAATTAAGACGAAACCCCATCTGTTACGTAACGGCAGGTGAACGCAGGAGGTTCGAGGCCCAGAAGTAAGGCAGCCGATACTGATGTCTAAAGAAACAAAACATGAGCACTATCTTCACAGTGAGCCCTTCGGACTGTTTTGATACACACGCTGCCTTGCCACTGATGCAAAGTGGGTGGGGGAGGAGAGGATGCGGCACAAGTCACGGCTGAGCCTATTCCATGGGTGCTTAATAGACTCGCTTGCGATAGTCGAAGTGTCATGTGAGTATGTTATAAACGGATAATCAAAAAGTCTTTGCCAAGTCCCTTTCACATCTTCAATTTTACGATAAATAGTAATTAGTATGTTGGGGACCGCATCGATGATAGCCACGAGAAGATGGGTCACGTGGCATATACACGGTAAACCGCTGCAAGTGGAGGGTTAAAGTGGTAGTCGTAGATGCCGCAAAACATCCTCGAACCAAATCATCAGCAACCACAAGGCGCACGCACCGTCACAAGGAAAAGGTGGCACCCGAACGACACGTCTGAAAACTAAGGTAGTCAGGCAAGTATGATAAAGTGTACACAAACACGAAAGCAAATTGCGACTGCAGTTTGAAGTAATCGATTGCTCCTAGTTCCTTCGATGGTATTCGGTGAGCCACAATTAATTCTGCCCTTCACCACTTTCAGGAGGATCTTTTTTCTCGGACGGTTTGACCGGCTTCCCAGTTAAGGATTCTATGGCCTTACGGACGTCTTCGTGCTGCGGATCGACACCCGGTAGAGTCTCGAGGACGCTCTGCAGAAATTCGGGTTCATAATCTGCCTCCAGTTTTTTGTCATCTGGTTGAGATTCTGCGCCTCGGTTCATTATAGTGTCCACAACAGAGGCTAGTGTTCCGCTGTTACCAGATTGCTGAGAAATCGGAGTGGGTGGCAGGGCTTCATCGGTGTCCATTTTCGTTATATTGCTATTGTTGTTCTGAAAAAAAATAGAAATTGTCACTCGTCACTTGAAGTAAAAAGCCCGGGTGCTCTAGGTCACTAGGGCACCATCGGCACAAAAGGCCCTTGGTGACCGCGGGACGGGTCGAGAGGCTGATCCGTAATCGGATGAAAGTACAAGCTGTCATTTACAAAACATTCGAATTTGGGATATACTGTCGGACGACAGGCGGAAGTTGTCGGGATGGGTAGCAATGAGACGCTAGATTGCATCACTCTCAATGTCTCAAAATGCACTTTTTGTCAACTATGTGTAATGAATTTCCAATACAGCTGTGAAATATTTCGCTTGTATCCTGTGTCAAAATAAAGACAATAGCAAACGAGGCTCTAAAATGAATTCGAGGAATTTTGTCAGCTCTTGTTTCTGGAAATCGAAAACCACTGGCTTCATGCCTACTTCGAAATCGCAAAAAAAATAATTAAGGGACTGGAAGAGGTGGAGACGAGAAATATAGTAGGTGGGCTAACTCATGAAATGTCGACCGAAATTCCCAAATGCGTTTTCGTTTCGAAAAGATTAATTAAGCAGGGTTGTAAAACTAGTCAGCCTGCAACATAATTATACAATATTTCAGTTACCTCAGGATACCGGCTTTCGAATGAACTTTCCTCCGGCTGCATGCAAAAACTACACTGCAAAGAATGGCTACTTGAGTAGCATGAATTTTTCTCATTGATTTTCGATGCCCCTAAAAGTCCAACTATATCTCATGGAAGAAATGCATAAAAAATACTCATTCTTACGCTCGTTCGGTAGAAAATTACGTCTTCTTCTAATTTTATACTCCATGGAGGGACATAATTCGGTTTTTAAGTTTCTAACTGTGCGACCTTTAAATACAGTGAAATGGCCGTTCATAAATTGCCATATCTCTGCATTTACCAACGCGGCTTGTAAAGTTAACAATATGGATCAAATCCACTGCTTAATTTTATGAACCCTATATGGTCCCCCTTTATTACCGCAGAGAAATGTGTGGTTTTCCGTACGCGCAAAGCACACGGCTTGTAGTTTGGAGACCCTGAATCAACGTGTGAAGGTAGAGCGAGTTCAAAATTATTCGGGAATTGGAAAACTTTTTAAAAACCCAATTATGTCCCTCCTTTGAGTATAAAATTGGAAGTAGACGCAATTTTCCACCGACTGAGCGTAAGAAAGAATATGTTTCCATGAAATATAATTGGACTTTTAGGGGCATCGAAAATCAATGAGAAAAATTCATGCTACTTAAGTAATGGCCTTCAGTGAAAGTAAACAACAAAATTGGCAGTGCGAACCGGTACCAACAGGATTCGAGTTCAGGTCCCGTAGACCAACTACACAAGAAAGTTTCCGAGTTGCTTGCTTGGTAAAGCCGCGGTCATGTCTGATCTGGCCGGCCTCGATGATAACGCGAACTGTTTCTCCACGCCTGAAGATCTGCGGCAACTAATCGTGAGAGCTCGACCTACTCCTTCTTGCAGAGGCGGAGAACAAATTCAGAAGCATCTTCATGTCCTGACTAACTGTGTTAAGTTTTGAATTGAACCCCTCCTCAAAGCCCCCCTTCCCCCTGATGGGCAATGGCGACGGACCGAAGGTGGAAACACCGAGCTTGGGGGGGGGGAGGGCGAAGGAATGTCAGAATCCAGTGATGACACTAAGACCTAACGAACATGATCACCAGCAGATAAGTTCTTTTCTGCCACGGCTCTCTCAGTTGGAAGTCCCACCCGAAGGCTAGGCAAAGGACTAAGGAATGAAATTGTATCGAAACCCTGAACAGCCAAGAAATGCAAGTGTATCAACTTGATCTTTGTCATGACTTCTGCACCAGGGTGATACAGGCTGATTTAATTTCGGTGTGTCAGGGTTGCGTTCTCTAAACTATACCGCTAAATTACGGCATAAGTTACTTCCTTCAACATGTTCCAGCAACCTGCCGCAGTGTTGCAGTACGTCGTGACCCGCGCATTGCAGACCATGACTACGCTGACGTCACGGTGTCGAGTTCTTTGCAGGACAACGCGCTGTACCGGGTAAGTGCGAAGACAGAAGGAATGGTCTTCAAAACCACTTTTTAAACAGAGATGACTGTTGGCGGCTTTGTCGTCGACATTTATGCGGCTAGACGGTGAAACTCTTGGGTTAGCAGACGGTCTCAGTTACCTCGATTCATACGTCTCACCAAAATGGGCCAACAAGGTGCGCGGACCTTGCCAGACTTCTTCGAAGCCTATGGCGTCAACGAGACAAACTGGAAGACAAGGCAATGAATGTACAGTCTCTATCAAGATAATCCCTCTGTACGGCCATAAGACAGAATGCGTCCATCTTCTGGAGTTATTCGATCGATGGCGCTTTCACTCCGATTTTTTGCTGTGATCGCGCCTTGAATGAACGACTACCGCAGATCTACGCCCTCCTTACACACCAACTCAGATTATATGGGTCTTAAAGCAAGACCGTTCAGGTCAGAGCATATCTTGAGCCAGAGCTTGACTGATAATGGTGCCGAGGTGAACAACTGAAAATGTTGGTGGTCATAGTAGGAAGGGCTACAGTGCATGTCGGTTCGCGCGGTAGTCAGGCTGCCATGCCAAATGGCTTAGGTGTCCATAGAAGTCAGTCGTCGACAAACTGCAACAGGGGGTGAACAATCGTGATGTAATGAGCCGGCTTAGCCCGTTATGATTTCAATACAACTACATGAGTAAGCTAGTTGATCCACACATATGAGAAACAAAAAGCGCCCTCGTGCTGTGCAAAATCCTACTGACGGCTCGACCTATAGACCAAGGATGCTATTTTCTAGAAAGTCGTGTATTATTTTACAATAGCTGGTGAGACTCACTGTCCTCCCCAGAAGACAGTTGCTTAGGAAACTAGATCGGCACGCAAACAACAGCTTGAAGGTTGCAGAGCAGAGACATTCATGCAGGCACCATCTAAAAAATCTTCAAATGGGAGAAGCTCGTAACTACATGTCACCATATTGTCAGTGGACAGCGGGCATCTTAATTACGGGAGCCGATCTTGACATCAATAACAATGAACGAAAAATGGCGAGGGCTTACGAGAGCTGAATTTAATGAGCTTACACAGAGCACATCTTGCAAGTTGCCTAATCAGTGCTATTAGATGTCAAAGACCGGTAAGATTCTGCCCATCCAACAGTGTCCTTATGATCTCCGCTAGTCAGGTAAATTGGATGCCGTCTAACACAGAATCCTGACTGGCCTAACCTGGCACGAAAGATGTATATCAGGGTAAAAACATTGCCCTTTCGCCCGACATGACAGATAAGCAATCGAATTTGCTTGAAAACTAGACATCTTCCATACTGTCGACATGAAATGATGTTTCTCAGTCAAGTCCCGATAGGCGGAGTCCCTGCAATCTCACTGACGATGTTGGGCGATCCAATGCCTTCCCTCTCTTGCTCTCTAGGACCCCGACTTTTGCAGCATAGTTCCGCACTAATTTATATGGAAAATTCAGTATATGGGATTGGTGATAAGAGGAGTTCAGCTGCAAGATCTGCTAAAGTTCACAAGGACAATGGCACCACTAGTGCCCATGAAGAACACGGCAACAGTACTCCTATTGATCAATTTTCATCTTGCAGACAGGACCAACAGTAAAAAGCGATGTCTGGTACAATCCGTAGCACGTTCTAGTGGAGAGAAATGAGTAGCTTACGTACCACCCTATGTTCCCGGCAAGATATCAGTAACTTTGGGGTTATATCTACTCAGCATTTGAATGCTTACGGATAAAAGTATAAAGTGATGAGGCAAAACCGGTACAGTCTTACTGGGGTCCCTGGTTTGTCATCAGGCTTCTTTTCAGGTTCCTGTGTTTGCATCGACATCTGAATTGCGTACGCAATCTGATCTTCTTCTGACATGTTGGCCAAGTCAATCGGGGATGGATCTATATTTGCTGGATCAACTTGCATAGACATCGCCAGCGCCTGGCGAAGCAAAGCCTCCTCCGAAGTGCCAGACACTCCTGGAAGAGTGGCAGAAGCAACAGGTGCAGTCCCACCCGTGACGTTTGCCTCCTGCTCTTGGCGCATACGTTGGTCTTCCATTGAAACCCTCAAAGCGTAAAGTAGATCTGGATCTTCGGCTGCATCTAAGCCAAATTCCAGGCCCAATCCTGACCCAGCCAGTGCACCGCCGCCATCCTCCCCAGCAATGATCGGACTCGTGACGAGCGATTCATGAAGCACGGTACCTGGAGGCACGGTGACAAGATGTGAGCCTGTGCCGTCTTTGCCGTTGACGGCATCGATGAATTCGAGAAGCTTTTTTTGGTTGACTTCGTCTTCCCCAAAATTAACTATGTCGATATTGACTTTCTCCTTCTTTAGACGCTTGGCCAATTTAATCATCTAAAATCATAAAGATGGAAATTAAAACTAACATCCTTCTCATCGTCTTCAATAGGACTTCCGATAAAGCAAACAATGCGCATTTTCTGGTGGCGGAGCTGCCGGTGCCGGAGCGCAAGGTGAGCGATGCGCACTGACGTACAAAAGCTAATCCCACCCTTTGGCTGAATAAGGTGAAGACGATTGTATATTCTGCTCATATCACTAGTAAGGGTGCACAAGACCTCTGTGTTAGCCAAGGAAATGAGGCCGACGGTATTTTCTGGATTTGCTTGGCGTTTCACTTGGCACAACAAGCTGACAGCATCATTCTGTGCTTGAAGCCTTGTAGGAGCAAAGTCGCCGTTTCGCATAAAGTCGCTGTTGTCGACACTTAAAAATCATTCATGATTTAGCAAAAAAGGTATTACGCGATCATTACAGCCTCCTGCGACATTGCGCTAGAGACGAATGAGTCACAACTTTTCAAAGCTCGCTTTGTGCTCAGGGGGGCTAGTCACGCTTTTGTAGGTTCGAAAACCGTAAGGAAGGTTATACCCGCTCAGAATTCTACAAGGTATTTGACTTCTGGTCTTCAAGGTAGAGTTAAGTTCTGTACTCTTCCGAATACTAAACTACTGCTTGACAATGGCCGGCAAAGCTCTTTAAAAATATTTTAACATTGCCATGCTCAGCATGATTCTGGAATAGAGAGTTAGGAGCGTTGCAGCGAGAAAACAAAGAGTCATTACTTACCTTCAAGACGGTCTGGCCGGCAAAATCGAAGTTGCACATAATAGAGGTGAACATGAAAACTCGAAAATGCCTGCGCAATAGGGAATGGTTATATCGAAATATGGGCAATCCACGGAGAGGGCGAACATCACGGCGAAGGCAAGGATTTGGCTCATCCATCGTGAAATGCGAGAGAAAAGAGGAACATATGCTTTACTTTCGGTTTTTTTATAAAGAGGAAGAAAAAGAACATTAGACAAGCACCGACGAATATAGGGTTCTTCAGAATGTCCCACTTAATTGTTATGAGCTATCGGTATACTCATAATCGTATTTGTCGAAAGGATCAAGTGGTTTTTCATATTTAAAAATGCTTGAAAACTGTTAAAATCATTATGAAGGCCAAAAAATTTTTCGACACTACAAATGGACAGGTACAGTAGATGGTCGAGAGCGATACTGGAGTTGGCGGTATGGCATATATTTTATGGGATTACTTTTGTTTTTAGAATTGATTGAAATCCCGGAAAGTCCTCTTCTAGAGAAGAATTCATATTTTACCTGTTTTATAGAGGGGAGTCAGATCAGACAAAATCTGACGTTTCCGGACGTTTGCGTAATTTCCCATGCTAGCAAGTGTTATCTCATAAACGCCTTATTTGCGCGCGTTACGTTATAAAGGAATGTTCACATAAGCAATAAAAATATTGCTACCGTTCAGGTTTGTACCTGCATAGTTTTACAGTAGCGTTGTCCTTCTTTATTTTCCTGCCTGACCGTTACCGTTCATGTTTGTACCTGCAACGTATCGTTGTATCGCTACTCTTCCCCGTTCTTCCATCCTCTTGCTATCGTTCACAAATGTGCTCGCATAATTTTATAGTATCGTTTTCCCACTAGACAATATCTCTGCCGTTTTTATAAACTGGTTCTATCCCCCGATTGTTTTTTGACCGTTCTCGCCGACCCCGCATGTCCATCATCGAATGCTTGAATGACAGACCCGTTAGGGACAAACACTCAAGGGTTGGACTCTTGCAAAGAAATAGACGTTGTGCATCAACTGGAGTGATGATTCGCCTACTCTCTCCCCAACCGGTTGGAAATTATAATATCCCAGAAATCCATTCTGGAAGCGGAACTTGTGATTTTTATTTCACGAAAATCAGGTCGGTTTACGAGGATTTACGAGGGGCAATTTGCTCTCTGCAAGTCGTATTTAGAAAAATTGTAACCTTTTACGGAGTTAAACGCAGTAATAAGCTTGTCCGACAGCATTTGTTTTACTCCACCGGGAACTAGTAGGCGTAAACACCTATATAGAGATTGCGCGCCACATACTGTTACCTTTCTGCGTCATGACGCGTAATAAAGATGCCGAAGCAGTTGATATCGGATGTTGACGTTGAGAGCATGCAAAAAGTGGCATCCGAAGGGCTGTCGCGTGAGTGGAAAGCTGGTATTTTCAATATTATCCTGGCCACTTCGTGAAGGATTATTAATTATAGAGGAGTACCCAGAGTTATGAAAAGTAGATTAAAATTGTTCACAAGTAAATAAGACGACGATTTCATCCGTCAAACACTGAAAAATATAATTATATGCCCCTTACGGCCATTCATAGCTAACACTATCAATGCAATGCTCATAGTCAAAAAAGAACGAAAGATTTCGGCCTCCATTTGCAACATGTACGGTAGACCTGGTCTGGAATACTGTTCGTTTTCATTTAGCCTCATGCGTACTACTGAGCGGAAGAAAATAGAATCCGTTCAACACTTTTTTACCAAGAGAATTTTAGCCGCGGAACACCGGCTTACGGGCCTTGATCCTTTATGGTTCCGCAGATTACAAAAGGGACTATTTTTGCTATTTAATCACACATTTAACCCACTCACCTCTTTAAGACATCATATCTACCCACGACGTAACAGTCACCGTGAGGTCTTCTTATTTCTTCCTCTGGCGCGTGCTGTTAAATATCGTCGGTTCTATTCTGTAAATGCAATTGCTATTTGGAATAAACTACCAATGAGTGTGAAAACTCTGCAAAATTATCCTTTATTTAAGAGAACTATTACTCGATTTTTGCATTCAGAAAAGCTTCCTCAAATTTTGGGTTCTGAATCCACCGATCGGCTCTACCGTAGCGATGGCGTTTGTGGTCTCTGAACACTATGGCCGGTCTCACCAGCTGTTCCTCAACGCCTCTACTTTGACTATCCCCAACTTCATGAAAGGAATTGACGTCCGAGGATCTCCGATATCGTGCAACCCCCTCCCCCCTTCTTGACGGTCGAAAATCTACCGCCTGCAGTTTTTTTTTCTCCTGAACCCTTCAAACCATAAAAACCATCATCAACTATATTTTTATTCTTTAGGAGTTTTTTTTACTGCTGGTCGGATTTGTGTTTAATCGCTTCCCTTGACAATGCCTGTAAACTTGCATTTAATAAATTAAATTAAATTAAATACGACGGCAAAGCCATTTTAAGTAGTATGCATAACAAAGAACGTTTTATTCTTTGCTCCTAAATGCATTGATCACAGACTTTTATTTTGGAAAAGCATTTACTTTTGTGATGAGGTCTTATTTTAAGACAAGTTTTTGAAGTGGGCCCGGGCAATCATGTGTGGAAAGAACTTCCCGTGAGGGCACGCTGCATCGATACCAAACTTCCAGAACTGTCGATACACAAAGGTCTGGATAGCCATCAGATTCAGAGAGTGGCTAAGCTAGCGTTCAACCATTCAGACGACAAATAGCAAAGTGCTCATCGATATCGTAAAGGATGCCTTCCGTTACAACGGCTTTCGTCTACGTCAAACGGACACTGTAGTGTTGCAACTGAATGCCGCAGTTCACCGTTCAACGTATGTATGATCCCAATTCAGCTTACAACCTTAAACTAATAATTTATACCATGCCCAGCCTCCCTGTCTGCGCTCTCCGAAGTATTTGTATTCCAGGCAATAGCACTGACGTGAATTCGATCGAAAATCTTTTTGCATTTATAAAGGAGAAAATCTTTAAAAAGTTGGATTCTGTACTTTATAATTATGTACACCAAACCACCATAGACAAATTAGTAGTCTCCATACTCTACCGGCCTACAGAAACTTTGAAATGCGACGGATAATTGGCAAAGTACTGATGTGTTACTGTTTTTTCCCAATTTGTCGTTTTATGACATTTCCCTTCTTTGCTGGAAGTTATATTCGACCTTTAATATTTGACCTGTCGTTTAGTCGTCTTTTAGATTTGGTGGTTTTATGTAGAATAAATAATTTCCTGGAAAGTAAATAATGCTCCATACACCAAACCGTGACTTGCTTTGATGTTCTGTCGTATTATTATCACACTATAACTTTCGTGGATGCTGGTTGGGCGGTTCGTGCGTTACGATGTTCTTAGCTCGCAGTTCTTGATCTCTCATAAGATGGGTCATAAAGTCTAGGAAGTAAGATTTGGTGACTTTTTGAATGGGTGTACATGAAGCTAAGAAATATTCAGCGCCAGCGGAATAAGAGTCTAGGATGCTACCTTTAAGCAGCATAGGGGAGAGGAAGCCAACATAGTCGCCTGCCTGCGAACCTGCGCCATGGCCTGTCTTGTTCGGCAAATGATTGGGCTGTCATATTATCATTGCGCCTGATTTGCTACGTTTTCTCCCTCGTCCCCGTAACCACCATAGCATGGGAATAAACTGTATTCTCTATTCTCTCCCCCCAGACTTAACTCACCTGACTTCGTCTAGTACCCTACTGGCGTATCGTCTATATAGTTTCCCCGTCTGGTTTCTTGCAACAGCCAGTTTTTCCAATGAACTCATATTCCTCGACCAAATTGGACGCATGAAATTATTAAGACCATGAAAGAAATTGTCGAAATATATCGTAGCCTGACGAAATTTTGCCGCTTAAAAGTTTTAGAGTGTTTATGTTACTGTCCGTGGACTGATGTAAGCTGATAAATGCCTAATCTTTATTGATGGGCTTCTCATTCCTCCGCTCATCTTAGTTTCGTCAACAAGGCCAGTTGCTTCTTCAGAGCTCAATATGAAGATTCAAATAGCAACTTTCTTCAACTCGGCAGCTTCAGAGCCTCCAGCCCCAGGACTTTCTCTCTACACGGCGCCCCACTGCAACATGTTGGCAGTCAGAAGGACTTGAGTGTATGGAGCACATTTTCACTCAAACCAGCACTGCACTGTACGAAGGCGGCTGAATCGCCTATGGCTACATTATAACTCATTAAACGAGTCTTTGTGGGATTTGACACTGACTGCTTTCCCAAAATATTTGGAGCTTACGTGCGGCCTCATCTAGAATACGTCATATAGGCGTGGACTACCAAAGACCATACCGTCCTGTAGAAGGTCCAGAGACGAGCGACCAAAATAACACAAGGTTTGGGAACACTGCCCTACAAAACCGGACTGTCAACTGTCAACCTCTTTCCCCTTTCCTACAGGCAATTACGTGGTGACGTTGAACTAACATTTCGCATTATCAACGGCCTAGACTGTTGTTTAGATCCCCACCGATAATTCCACTCAAATAAACACGCCAACTTTGCGCGGCCAGCCCCTAAAACTACGCGCAGGGAAAGCAAGAATCAATGAACGAAACTTCTTTTTCAGTAACAGAGTGACTGAAGCGTGGAATGCCCTGCTTACCGACGTTGCCATCTTCTCCTGTGTGATTTCCTTTAAGTGTAGA